CTCGCGAAATCCCTGAACCCTAGAATCGTCACCCTCGGCGAATACGAAGCGAGCCTGAACCGGGTCGGCTTCTTCAATCGGTTCAAGAACGCGCTCCGGTACTACTCGGCCGTGTTCGAATCACTGGAACCAAAATTGGCCCGCGACTCAAACGAGAGGCTGCAACTAGAAAAAGTGGTGCTCGGGCGGCAGATCGCCGGCGTGGTCGGACCGGAGTCACCAAGAACCAAAACAGAACGAATGGAAGACAAAGAACAGTGGAAAATCCTAATGGAAAATTGCGGTTTCGAGCCGGTAAATCTCAGCCATTACGCCAGAAGTCAAGCCCGAATCCTTCTATGGAACTACGATTACAGCTCCTTGTATTCTTTGATCGAATCCTCACCTGGGTTTCTCTCGTTGGCGTGGAGCGAAGTACCAATTATCACAGTTTCTTCATGGCGTTGACAGCACAAGCTTCATAAAAACTCAGGTATTTGTTCATTACATAATTAAAATTATCCTATATATATTTTTTGCCCCCTTCTGTGCTGTAAAAAGACGACATTAAGAATCATATACGCCATTGACAATCTAATTTGGTGGTGCTGCTCCATCTTTTTTGTCAATTTCAACGTCAGAACGCGCAGTTCTAAATCTTTTTGACCCAGAGCTGAAAAAAAATGTGGGAATTTCATGAATTGAGGTGTAAATTCTAATGGGGTTGTGTTAGTGTTGTTGAATTGAATAAAAAATTGTTAAAATGTAAAATCTTGTTTGCTTTCTTGCTTGGGGGGTGTGGCATGGGCCTGTGGAGTGGAACCTTATTCTGATCTGTTTGTTTCGGTGGGCAATGGCATCAGTTCATGTCCTGATTTGCACCGACTGTCCAGTAGTAACTGCCTGAAGCTGTTTTAAATTATGTGTTTCCTAGATGGGTCCTTTTTTTTAATTATTTTTGCTGGGGGGAGACGTCCTTTTTCAGACAGGGAATATATGTAATTAAAAAAGATAAGATAGCCAAGAAAGATTTTATAGACATGTATTCGAATATGTTGTCCTTGGTGGTTTGGAAATAATCTTATACATCAAACTATATTGAAATAATCTTATACATCATACTATATTCTTTGAATGATTGAATAGCTAAGTTTTATGTAATACTCGCTCATATTCAGTAATTGACATATATCGTCAATTAGAACGCTGTGAGTTCGATTTTTATTCGAGAAAATAAAAGGTTTTTATGGTTAAAATTGACTTTATGAAACTAAATAAGTAAATATTGTTAAAATTGTGGTCCAACGAACACTAAATTAACGGATAGCAAAAGACTTGGTGTAATCATAAGTCATTGGAGTGGAAACAAATAAAGGAACTTTTTTTTTTCTTTAAAAAAAGATGGGAAAAGGAAAGAGGGGTAAAAGAGGGAATGGGAGAATTTGAAGGAGAGAGGCGGGAGAAGGGGAAGGGCAGGTTTTGCAAGGCAGTGCCACGTAATAAAGGAAAGTAGAGTAGAGTATACTATAGGACCATGGGGGACGGCCCAGGGCTACCACTGGCTGTCGATCCAACGCTGCCCTAACTCCATTTTTTATGTTCTCTCCATTTCAACAAATAATGGAAATTCGAACTTCCAATAGAAATTGATTTGAAAGTTTGATTTCTAAGGTAGGCATTAAATTTGAAATTAATTGAATAGGGTTGAAAGCTAATGGATTTGAATATGGAAAAGTTGAGGTTTAATTATGGTATTAAATATCTGTTGATTCGTCGAGAGGTTTACGTACTCATGGATTCGACATTGACGTGAGTGGTAAATCGACATTTCTACCTTAATATAAAAAAATCAACAAAATATGAAAATATCATTAAAATGTCACTAATATATACATAATATTAATATTAATCAATTGCAACTTATTTAGAAATATAAAAAGTATTTTTTTGTTAATTTAAATATTTTTTTATATTTTTATAATTTCTCTAATTTTTAAAAAATATCTATTGACATCGCCATTTTATCTATATTTTTATGAAATAGAGAATTCGACATTTTCATCGACATCGACATTTAAAACTTTAGGTTTAATGGACGGATTTGAGATTTTAAATCTAAACGATTTAAATAAAGTAAAACCTTTTTTTTTCTCTTTTGCGAAAGGAATAAAGAGGAAAATTCTTTGTGATGCACTATAAGCAAATTTTGATCTAATTATTTTTAAAATATTCAAATTAAAATCAACTTTAAATATATTTTTAAACTGCCTTTGATTGAGTATGATTGGGTATGTTATAGTAGAACGTGGTGAATCAGATGTTACTCCAGTTTAGAATTCAAATAATGTATGTGAAAGAAAAAAAAAATTGACTAAAAGATTTAGGTTGATAGAAATGAATAGAAAGAGGTATCTAAAATCGTGGTTACCAACTTGATCTTGTTGCTCGAAGCAATAAACATGCATGAATATATCATTTCATGAAATATATGTTCAAATAGTAAAAAGTAAATAATAGTGAGCTTTTAGTCTTCTAGTTAAAAGACAATTTTGTCGAAGAATTACGTTACATGTACAAATAACATTACGCATAAAAATAAAATATCAAATTATAAATCAAAACAAGCATGGTTCAATAACAATTGACATATATATCCAATCAAGAAATTGTGAGGTCGATCACATCCTAGATATTACACTTAAAAAATATATATGTCACCAAACTAAACAAATTTGAGTTTCTCAAGTTTTAAAACTCTTACCTGATACAATTTTTAGTTTTGAAAATACCTAATTCCGAACTTTTAATATTGTATTTCAAATCACTTAGATGTAGAGAAATGTCCGTCTAATAAATATTTGAATTTTCAACTTTATATTTAATAAGTTTTTAAACTTATCAATATGTTGTTTTGTTTATTATTATTATATTATTATTATATACAAATAAAAGTAAAATTTTTGAGTTTTACTAGTCAAATCAAAAGTTTAAAGACATAGGCAGTGTTCCAAAGTTTAGGAATTAACGAGATAAAAAACTATGAAATTTTGATGGGTCAATCTTGTAATTTATTTATTATCATAAACTATTTATCATCTATTTATTTATTTATTTTTTTGGCAAAGGTATTTATCATTAATAATTCATGAAGATATCGACACTCTGACCACGTGTCATGTTTAAACCAAACAGTGTAAAAAAGTTTTAGGGTGTCAACCGCCACGTAAGATTTAAATCTCCCAACCTCTCACACGTGTCGTAATAACTCCACGTGTCACGCCTACAAAATTCAATCTTGTATGTCAGACTTTAAAGCTCACATAAAACGACTCTCCCCCATTAACTTGATAGGCAAATATGTTCCATGCAATCAGATTAGGCCGAAGTCCACCGCCGAGTGTTCTAACGACACCTCTACCGCCGCAGCTCCGCCGTAGAAGTTCGCCTGAGCTCCGGTCCCGTCAGGTGATTGGGTTGGCCACCGCACCAGCTGATCAGAGTTCGGATAACATGGACGACTCCAAGAACACCGTCAAAAAGACTGGGTTAGATATTTTTTCTGCTTTTTATATATATCCATGAGAATTGCATGGGTTCGAAGGCAAAATACTTACTGATTTTTTGATCTGACGTGTTTAATTATTAGCTAAAAAATTTAGTAGCTTTTGAGCCAGGTGAATATTTTTTTAAAGAAAAATATTTAGGATTTTTAAGTATCACAATTAAAATGATTATTTCATAGTTAAAATAATATTTTGTTACATGTACCTTAAGCCTTGGTGTATTTTGGTTTCCGTCTTTGAAAATGTTGGGTTTGTCTATGTACTTTAAATTTTGGTCTATTTTCTTCTAAACATAATTATTTTAATTTCTCTCTGAAAAATGTTGCGTAACCGGAAATTCTTTATTATAAAGTAATCTTTACATTTTGTAAATATATTCATTTTAGTGTTGGGGTTGAAATTGTGATAAAAAATAAAATTAAGGAATTGAAATGGTCAATGAACCAAAACTAAAACTAGGGGAATATATTAGTATATTTTAACTTTATTTTATTAATGTTCTGAATCCCCGATTAATCTTTGAAATAAAAAACAGAGACATAATGTCTCATTCCTTCGGGGAAGGGTATGCGACGAGGTCGGATGAAGAAGGATTTGGAGGCATTTATGGAGGCAATCGGTCCGACGACGATGACACCGAGGGAAAAAATGGCGTTATCCACGAGAATCACCCTGGTAATTACATGCATCTCTCTTTCTCTCGTTCAAAGCCATGAAGAAATGTTGTTTCTTGTGGGATTTGGCAAATGTGATTGGTACGATTAAATGATGTGTGATATGTTTTTTTATTCTTGAATGTGAAGAATATGATAAAAGCCAAGGGAGCGAAGTGAAGGAGAAGGAGAATTCTCGCCATCAAACTCATGCAAATCGATGAGAGAGCCCTCCTCGCAGGGAGTCTATGTTGCTCCGTAACTATTTTGTATTTTTTTTTTTTCTGGTTTCATGTGTTTGGAAATTTAGCTTATTATTATTATAAGCACTTACTACACTTTTATACTTGTGTGTAATCCGGTGCCTATCTTTTAATTATAGGATCTAAATAAGTGCTCAAGTTTTTTCCAATATAGTGTTTAATACTGTGAGGGAGTTTCTTTCTTTTCCTTTTCAGTTCATTCATTAAAAGTCGCTCTTTCTTTAATTCATTTTTCCATGTAAAAAGTGGATTAAGGGTTTCATAATTGGTATTAATTTTTATTGTGGAAAGTTTGATTTAATTGGGTCGACTTTAAACATGCTTGGAGATATCAAAATCTGATGGGTTCATCTTAGGGTAGCTCCACTTATAATTATATTATAAGTAATTGTTATTTTTTTAAAAGGAATTTTGTATTAAATATCTGACAATTTAAAAATAATAATAATAAATATTCAAGATTCATTCAAATATTTAATAATTAGGAACCCCTTCATCGTTAAACAACCAATCTCCATGACATTTTGATATTGTCACGTGTTAAAGGTACTTCATCTCCTCATTCTTAAGATCGTAGTTCCATACCATCTCCATGGCATTTGGTTGATTAATCAATATGTGGTAGAGATCAAAATTTGGCATACATATTATATTATGTCCGACAAAAAACAATAGTTAATGCAACAATAAAATTTACGCAAGTGTTGTTGTTAAATGCAAAATAAATTAATATTTGATAAATTACAATGAAGTAAAATCTATATTATGTGGGTTAGTTGACATTATTTCAATTTTTGGTTGACATAACATTTTTTCAATTAAACTTTTTATTAGTATTTCAATTTGTTATTAAACAATTATTTAAAAGTTGGGAGCTTCCAACCTCAGCAGAACAAATTTTATTTTTTAACCGTATTCTTATGTTGATAATTTAGAAAAAATTTAATGAACTTAGTGTTGTGGATAAATTTTGTGTTTAATCTACGTAAACATCCCAACAGTGGCGTTTGGTAAATTTTTTGAATTAGAAAAAAAAAAGTTTCATTGTTTCGTTTATAGAATCATTTTTTAGAAGACTAAAGGCTACAGTAATTCATCAAATGAACACATAATTCAAAACCTTTGCTAAAAAAAATGAGCTAAATTAACTAAAAAATTTATTTAGGATAATCGTTAATCACGTGGCGGTCGCAACGATGATGTCGATTGGAAACAACGATTGGAAACAACGCGATTACAAAAAGCTAACACCAACCGCTTCACGTTTTTCAGAACTTCGCTGTCATTTACTGCGTAAGGATTTTAATATTCCACGACACAAACTTTCCAGCCGTTGATCTTTACCAGCATCGCTCAATCCTGGCCGTGCATCGCATTCGTTCCCCCTATATAAAGAATTAGGGTTCCTTCCCGCTGTTCTCATCTCAGATCTATTTTCCGTCTTTCTTCATCTCATGATCTTTGGTCTTCTGGCGGTGATTGATTGAAGAGTCTGTTCGATCGTTGCGTGATGTCGGAGGCCTATGAGAAATCTCCATCGCTAGGGTCGATCTCTTGTTCATTTCCGATTGCCGGTGATTTCTTTCCGTGGAGATCCAAATTCAGGTTTCTCATATGAAATTTCAGATGTAGTTATCTAACTATTCTGCCGCCTTTCAATCTAAGATCGGTGTTTAGGATGTTGATTAATCTTTATTTTGAGGTGAGGATTGAAATCTCTCCGATAATCGCAATATTTCTAACCGCGGTCGCGGTATTAACGTTTCTCTTTATCATACATAGGGTTCTCACTGAATACAAGGACGGCTGGAGAAGCTTCTATGTTACGGCGAGGTGGACGATTGTTACTGATATATCAGTCGTTTGTTTCCAGCCGTAGGGGACTCTTCCCTGTGATCTGAGGTGCTGTAACATGTAATTTCATCAGAGGAAGGTCGATTCTATTAGATTGTTGTCATGGATGTATGAGATATCAGGCCGGAACATCCCTATGCTTTTAGGGAGACGGCTTTTGATTGATCTTTGTCATCCGACCTTTGCCATGACAGGTGCGCTTGCATGGCAGGTCAAATATTTAATGAAAAATAATTTTTGGGTTTTGAGGAGGGATCGCACGGGTATTTCCCGGGGTCTCTCCTCACCGGTGTGTGCCGACTCCTCTATTTTTCTTTCTCTGTGCATATTATGCTCGGCTGCCTCCCACTTCTTGCGTTGTCAGGGTTCGTCTGCTATTGAACCTGTGCTCGATGTTGCGAAAGGTATTCACCAAAACTTCTCTGATCTAAATCAATTCGTTAAAATCACAGATAAAACAGCAACCTTAATAACAGTGGTAAGTCAACTTTGATTGGTCTTCGATAATTTGGTGGTGTAGGAAATTGAATTTAATTTTACCGTAAAATAGTCTCATTTTTGTAGATTATTGTTTCACTACCAATTGGCTTCTGTGCGAGTTTAATCCAGATTTATCATACCCCCGTGAATAGTAAGCATTATCAATGTGGCTGTTAAATTATGTGCTCATTGCTTCGAACATACTATTTTTTGTAACCTTTGAAATCTGATGTGTCGTACAAGTTATAACGTTTATATCAAATATTTAGATGTCATTGCGGCCGCCTGGCTATATGCACTCAATGACAATTTTTTTTGTTTGCCACTTTATCGACTCTATTTCTATTATTTGATACTTTTATCAAGGATACTTGTAATTTATTTTGTTTAATCAATTGAGAAATATGTTGAGGGAAGATTTGTGTCTTGTATTGTGTCCTTCCGTCGAATGCTTCTGGTGTTTAGTTTTCGTTATTTCATAGCTTCCTTACTGTAAAGCATAGAAATGGAAACACTCCCATCTATATCGTCTTGGGTCGAGCTGAGGATCGCATGGTTGAGAACAAGGTGTATGCTAAGCCAGCCGGAACAGCAGATTTTTGTTAAATGTTGGAGATGTGCAAGTGGGAATCTAGCCAATTCGGTAACTGAATTCTCGAGATTTATCATTTAATTAAGCCCAAAATATAGATGTTTCAATCTTTGTACCTAATCTTCTTGTTGTACGGCTTCATAATTGTTTCAGTTCAGAATTTGTCTTTTCCCGTCTTAATCTATCTTTTGTGGAATAGTTTTGCCCACAAACAAAACAGGAGTCTTATTTATTTGTCATGATTTTTTATAAAATGTTATAAGATGATATTGTTACTTGGATAAAGTTTTGTTCTGTAAATTATTTTATTCAGGGGATTTGATTATGGTTCAGTAAAATTAGGATGTACAGAGTGTGCCTGTCATGATTTTTTCCTGAATGAGTGCACCATACGATATTATAACATTGAATTATTGGTTTCGTGTAGACAGGTAACGTTTGTAAATATTTATTTTCAAGGTAGTTGATTGTAGTTTAGAAAATCTGGGTATGTTGGTTATCTGGTGCAATAAAATTGTTTTCATTGTTCTCTGGATACGAGTAGAATTACTTGTTCATTTTAAATTTGAATGTTTTCTTGAACTATGCAAGTTAAGCTTTTGATATTGTAAATGTATAATTTTTATCTAATTTTTAATTAATGAAGTAATTTGTTATTAACCATTTATAAAATTATGCTCCGAAACAGTACTATAAAAATAGAATTGTATGGAAGAATATACAATTATATTAAGTTGGTATTAGATTAAAATTTTCGTTCACAACTCCGTATAGGCACAACCTCAGTTTGGTTTCTCTAGCTTGGGTATGAAATTAGGTTTTAAATTTTTTAATTTTTAGTCTCTGGGCTTGTTTTGAATTTTGTTTCTTCTGAGTTTCAATTGAGTATTAATGGGAAGACCCGGCCCAATCAATGGTTTCTTCTGAGTTTCAATTGGGTATTAATACAAAGACCTGGCCCATTCAAATCGAAATCAACTTGGTTAGAGGCTGAATCCAAATTATCTTACAGATTATCTATAACTTTGTCTTGTTTCCTCCAAAATTTTTGTTTGTTTCAAACTTGGTGGATTTAATTTGGTTGGTCAGATAAGAATATTTTTCATAGTTACTACATTATATAATACGGATGTTTTCATATTTTTTATTTATGATAAACTTTGTAAAGGAAACCAGGTTGTTGAACCATAGGGACAAATTAATCATATCTATAATTAAACATAAAGCATATTAATCCAATTTACGAGTTAGCCTAATACCTACAGTACTAACTTTTTTGAATAACGGCCTACAAATAACATACTTCGGATTGTAGTGTATCACCCCTTTTAAACTAGAATAGGGATTTCTTTAGTTCAGCACTAAGGATTTGAATCTCCACCGTGGTTGTGTGTGGTTGTGTGTGGTTGTGTGTGGTGCTGATACTCCGGGATTTGAATCTATACCGTGGTTGTGTTGTTTCTATATATGTCCATTGAGTTTCAAACTGTAACCTTCAGTACTAAGTTCTCATTGCCATTGCTTTATAGATGTAGCATTTTTCCTTGATTGTCATCAACGCATGTATTTGTATTTGAAGTCTGAGACAGGTTATTAATTTGCGGCATATGTTGTTGAACTTCGCAAATGAGCAGGATTATTGTATGGTGTATTGTCTGTGGAACGGGGGAATGTGCTCTTTTCTTCGGCTACTTATTTGTTCCTGTTCCGGTGGTAGTGTTGTCCTTCGACACAGGAAGATAGCAGGTAAACACCAGGCTTTCTGTATATCTGATTTTTTCCCGGATATATTTGAGTTCAATATGCCTGTAGAAATAATTTGGGAGAGACCTGTAGCTCAATGGTGGCAGAGCGCTCATGGCCGTTTTAGGTTTTGAGAGGTTGGTGGTTCGAATCCATCCGGGTCTGATTGAACTAAATGTAGTATTTCGTTCATCATCATGTTTATAATGCCCTTTATGTTACTGCTTTCCATTGTCCGATGCTTGTGTAGGTGGCACATGTCCATCCTACCATCGGAATGCGGGTCGGTGTCGTGAGTAGTTTCTTTCTTTTCAGTTGAAAATCCTTGATGAATTATGATCTCATTTTCTTAGAATGTATAATAATCTAATATATAGGAGAGCCTGATCTGAGGATCCAGTTATATATCTAGGCATCGGTGGTTTCCATACCCTGAAGGCCGAATGTCCTGTTCGTACAAGGTTAGATAACTTATAAACGGTAAAGGACCTATGAGTGTAGTCAGTAGTGCCTTTCCTAGGCAACAGAAACTGGATTTTTTACAAGAACTGCAAATCTATTAGCGATTATGTATTTATTTACATTAATTAGAAGTGGCCGCATTCTAGAAATCAAGTCAAATAGTTTACGACTTAGGCATAAGACACCCAAACGTCAACTAAAATGTAAGTACTTCATAGAACACATCTTTAGTAATTCATTGAACATTACTATGATAGGCGAGGTTGAATTTGCTGAAGTATTATGGTCCGATTGAGGAAATTATAAATCAAATGAGAAAGTTTAAAAGAACTCCCTCCCAGGCATATCGAGCACAAGAAAGCAACTTTCTATCTTTCATTATCACTGATGTACTAAATTGAATTGAATTAAAATGTATTCTCTTAAGATATTTAATTTTTTTCGACTATGACCTTGAATTTTCAAAACACTTGAATTATGAGTGATTGAGAAATAGTCCAGCAGGTGTGCGGAGATGGAAGAAGGCACACAGAGTGATAATGACATAATTGAGAATCAACGTGGAGTGAGGGCACGTGGCATCGTAGATTCTTAGAACAGGTGGCTTCTCTTGTAGGCCCACTAATAAGGCCCAATATAGAAAGAGGGTCATTGTGGGTTGATCTTGAGCACACTGATGAAGTCGAGCGCTTCTGACTGCCCCCACATACATGACAACTAGTAGGTGGGGTGCTCCTCTACCCAAACTGTGATACCCCTTTGGGGACCACTCAAGACTCAACTGCGCCCTCTATCCTCATGGACTCCTGGTGCGACATAACGCTCCCCCATAGACGCTTGAGATGGAAGGAACCTCCCTCCCGAATGATCTCTCCCTATCCATATTTAAGGGAGAGAAGAACCCTAATTAAGGTATGTCGAATTTTTCTACGCAACCCTTTCTAAGGATTTGATACATATGTTTAAGCAGACTCTCACCTTTGAAATATATATTACAATACAATAAAACGATTATAGTGTCACATAAAACCAGAGAAATTGTGGGATGGAATGACATTTCGGTTGTTGCGTAGTATTAAATTGCATTGAATGCACGCAAGTCTACATTAGACTTCTTTTTCGTTATAAAATGGACAAACCCAACATCTCAACTACTTCACTGAGGCATTTTTTAATCCTAACACATTTTTTTAGAGATAAATCTGAAAATTTAAATCATCCTTCATTTGGATTAAAGTATCTACTTTTTCTCCCGACATCATAGGATTAAATTTCCAACTTCATATTTGTGGTATATATATATACATATTTTATTTTATTAATTAGAAATTATTTTACAAAGGAGTTTATAAATTAAAATCTCGATCCATTTATGTGATCGAATTTGTATGTAGATCCTATGAATCTGGTCGAGAGAGACATTTCATGTTTATTATATCATCTTCATCAATGCATCCCTTAACTAATTAGCTGGAGTGGTTGAATGATTTTGAAATATAGTGTCTCACACCCATTTTAATTTAGTTCTAATACTTGTACAAAGTTGTATTTTACGTTTTGAATAATTTTAGATATGTGTTTAGTAGGAGATGCAGAAATTGAATCTCAATTTAAAAAATTGTTCGCATATTTAGTAATATATCTATATAAACTAGTGGTATTTATCAATTAAATATTTAGTATGATGTAAAATTTTATTTCGAATTATTATTTTATAATACTATATAATTTATAATTAAATATTATATTTTATATGTTTTAATTTTAACAAAAATAGAATGTACTTCTAACGTAATAATATATTATATTTATCAAAGACTTTATTTTTTAATGTAACTTTAATTTTCAAAGTTTCAAATTTAAAATCTAAAAATATTAAAAAAATTGTTTTTTGAGTTTCCATGGTAAAACAGTTTTAAAAAACAAATTTGTCAAATATATATCCACTTAATTCATTGATTAAATGATGAATTTAAAAATGAGAAACAAAATTTAGATTACATACTAAATGTCTCTGGTTTTCTATTTTCAAATAAGCATATGTTTGAATGGTATAATGTAATATCGATATTGAATGCATTATTAAAATTAAACAAATAAAATTTATAGTATTTATTAATAAATAATATTTTTAAATATAGCAAAATTTTGAAATTTTCAGTCCAATTTAAACTCAAATATAATATAAATTAATATAATCAGAAAAATTAGGTAATGTTATATTTGAAAAAGAAAAAACTATGACATTTAAAAAAATACATATAATGTAATTTCTCTGAAAATTAATTGATATATTTATATACATTTTATAAAACAAAAATATTTAAAAAGATATATAAAAATTGAAATAGAATATCATGAAAACGTCATTCAGAAAATGGCGTGTTCGAAGCCTCAATTTTAGTTTGTTATTTTGTGCGTGGGTGATAGCTGTATTATTCTTCCTTATTCAACATTATTAAATTATTTTGTAAGACACGAAAACGATAAAAAAATAATATGCATTTTTTTAGTACAACAAATATGGAGATGAGGATCCAACCTCCAACTTAAAAAAAAATGAATAATGCCTTGGTCCTATCTTTCTTAACGTTAATATATTTTAAAAATTTGTAGTCGGTAATTAAAATATTTTGAGCAAAAATTTCTAGATTTTACAAAATAAAGCTAAATATTTGTAATATGATTTATATTTTTTAAGGTTAGTTTGATAATGTTTTTGTTTCTTATTCATGTTTAATTTTTTTTAATAAATAAAAGTAAATTACATGACCCCACACTCAATGGATTAAAAATGATAAAATAAGATGTTAATTTATGTCGTAAATAGAAAGAAATTTTTTTTTTTGTTGTTTCCAAAAATTCTATATAATTTTAATAATGTTTATAAAAGGTTAGAAACAAGAAATATAAATAGTTGTTAAAAGCTTAGATTTCTTAATAAAATTAGAAACAAGAAACAAAAAATGAGAATGCTACCAAACGGATCCTTAGTTATTTCGATTGTATCATTCTAGATTTCATATATATTAATGGTATATCAAGTCATGTGTATATATATATATATATATATATATATATATATATATATATATATATATATATAAAATCGAGTATATAAATGGTCTATCAAATCATGTATATCATATTAAATACATCATTGGTTTATCAGTATTCATATAAGGTATATCATTAGCGTATCAGTGTCATTGATTGATACATCAACATTTATATAAGGTATACTCATAATCAAGTATATAAATATTGTTGATTCCTCAAATAATATAACAAATAAAGTAGATTATAGACATATTGATATTCATATCAAGTATAGAAGACAAATATTTCATCTAAAATTCGTAATAACACAGTACAATTGAATAAGAGAAATTTAACCCACTAAGAAGTAAAGAAACTTAATATATGAGGTATAAATGATGTATCAACCCTAAGTATATCAATTATATAAAAAAAAATGTATTTCATTGTTATATTTATTTTTTGACTTCGTGTCTATGTGTTAAGCCTCCAAATTTTATTATTTTTACACAATTGAGTGGTTAACTACTTTTACAATTTTCTTTTATTTATTTATTTATTTATTTTCTAGTTCTGTCGATTACTTTATTTGCCATATTTATTAGGTGCGGGAAAAATATTATTTGTGTAAGATTGAATGAAGACCGGGAATCGGGAGTTGACATTTGCGAAAGAGCGGAAGAACAGAACAACTAAGCACTCTTGAATTCGAAGCGCTTTGATTTCTGCCTCAGGTTTGTTTCGCCTTGCTCTTAATTTCATCTTCATTTCGTTTTCAAGCGGATCCAAATCAAAAGTTGAATTGATTTCTCTATGCAATTCATTTCGTTCATACGACGGCACCGATCGTCGTTTTCTTTCAAATTTCCCTCTCGGATTCTGAAGCCTTCGAGACTTTCCTTTTTCTTGAATTATATAATGGCGTCGATCGATTCTGATTCTATGTTTTTGGTTGAATACTTCTGAATTATATATATCCTTCGCTCCAAGATTTTAAATATGTCCAAGCAAACGTTGATGTTTCAGTAGTTTTTTTTTTTCTTTTATTTTTTCAGGTAAATGTTAAATCTCAGTATTTAAATTAATAAATAAATATCTAAAACATTCAGATTATTAGTTTGAGTTGAACACCCATCACTATCGCATTGAATGGCCTTCAATCTTGTATTAAATATTATTGAAGTTATTTTTGGGTAATTTTATTTTAATGAGTTATGCGATTGTTTTTATTATTTTTATTTCTGTTGGAATTGGAATAGGAATAATCCATTGAACCAGATTTTGAGTGGGAAGGTACGTACGAGTCGATACAGGTTGGCGGCTACCATGGACATGAACCAAATCAAAATCATTGACAATTTCCCCTTAAATGATGAATATATATTTTTTTCTTCTCATTTAAGCTTAAATTATTTCAAACGTTTAAGCTTTTTCCGCAGTTAAGCATCTTTCATTTCAATTTCATATATGTGTCGTAGGTTGAACTTCTGTGAATCCGTCTCGAGATGTTTCTTTTCAAAAGGAGGGAATCTCAAAACGATGAACAAATGGAGGATTGTTTACAATCACGGCAGGACGCTAAGGTAATTAATGATACTGTTTAAAACCATATTTGACGAACTACTTTTTCAAAGTGCTTTTGTGTTAAACAAAAGTGATTTGTAATCGTGAACAAACAGATCAAAGAATTGAGAGTTGCAATTGGGCAGCTATCGGGTCGTAGTGTAAAGTACTGTAGTGATGAGTGTTTGCGAAGATATTTGGTAGCTCGGAATTGGGATGTTCATAAGTCAAACAAAATGATGGAGGACTCCCTCAAATGGAGGGCAACTTATAAGCCTGAGGAAATAAGATGGGTTAGTGTTATTCATTTTCTTACTTTCGATTTGTATCAATTTTTAATCTAAACTCTTAATTTTATCAAATTAGACTCACTTCAAGAAGTTCAATATTTTAATTCACCCAATAATTTAAAAAAAAAAAAAAAGTATAAAAGACTTCAAAACTCAATCATTTAACGAAAGTCAAATTTTGCCCAAAAACGATCATTAAGTAACTTTGCAAAAACATCAACTATAAGAGGTTCATGAGTTCGAATCCCTACTCCCACATATGTAATAAAAAAAAAACCCACAAATTAAAAAAAAAAATTAATGTTGTTTTTGTCTAAATCCTGTAACTTATACACCAAATACATGTTTTATAATTCATGTTCACAAGTGTACATTTTCTAATAATTCTTCAAATCAAAATCTATTAAGAGGTAAAAATTGAAAAACTTTTAAAATTTAAAGGTTATGGTGGAGATGATAACGCTTTCCAAAGTTTGAGTACAATTTGATGAAATTGAAAGTTTAGGATAAAAGTTGATACATCTTACCAAACTTCGTAAAAATTGATCTTGTTCCTTTATCATCTATTTAGTTTTGTCTAATTGAACACTTTTTTCGAATACTTATTTATTTAAAAATTTGAAAAGTCTTCTCTGTAGTTATGATGCTCAAATATCAAGTCGGCTCATTCATATTTATATTAATTATTAGAGGCCTCTTGAGTCTTTAATCATGTGTAATGCAACTTTACTCATGTTTTCTTTATTAGTGATAATAATTCTATGTTAGGACTTATGAATCAATTAAAACTTTGGATTCATACTAGAACCAAATAAGACATTTCAAAAAAAGAGTTAAAAAAATTACTTGAGTAAGAACTTTTGGATTATCACTTATTCAATGATTGAATATCATGAAAAAAAAGACAAAGAAACGTTTATCCTTTAACCAAAATATTTGCCGCTTCTTATTATATATTTTTGTACGGTACATTTCTCCTGTCAATAGTGACATGTTTACAATGGTTTCTTACACTGTAACAATAAGTTGGTGTAACCTAACTTAGCCGGCTTTAATTATCAATTTTTATTCTAATAAAATATGTTTTTTAAAATTTTAATTTTTTTGGTGAAGAGAAAGGGATATTCATAATAGCACCAAATAAAATGGAATATATTCAAATAATTTTACTACTTCACTAGCAATAAAGTTGACTCATCCTTAACCAATGCTAAACGACTTACAATCCTATTGAACTAAACTGGGTTCAATTAATAAAATTAGATGGATTTGATTTACTTTCATTTTCAGATTTTTTTTAACATTTATCATATGATGCAGCACGAAGTGGCACATGAAGGCGAGACAGGCAAAGCTTATAGAGCAAATTTCTATGATCGTTTAGGCCGAACAGTGCTCATATCAAGGCCCGGAATGCAGGTATTTTACTAGCATCTCCCCTTTCCCTGCCAAAATGCAAAATCAATATTTACTATTCAGACTCAATTTTACAAAATCAATCTGATTTCCCATGCTACCATCTTCATAAAATGAAAAGAGGGAAAGAAAGAAAAAAGACTAATTTCCCTTGTTTTCCTTCTCAATTTCTCAGAATACAAACTCACCAGAAGACAATGTCCGACATGTTGTGTATCTTTTAGAGAACACCATTCTCAACCTTCGTGCTGGCCAAGAACAGATATCATGGCTGATAGATTTTACTGGATTTACCTTCAACACCAACATCTCTGTCAAAGCAGCCCGAGACATTATTAACATAATGCAGAGCCACTATCCAGAAAGGCTTGCTAATGCGTTTCTCTATAATCCACCAAGAATCTTTCAGGCCTTTTGGAAGGTTTCATTTTCCCATCCTACTTCACCTCCAGTTTCTCTAGTTAGATATGAAATATGACTGAAACTTGTAGTCAGTTCTGTTTCTAAAAATCTCTCCTTTTGATTGTGTTTAATCCATATCATAGGCTATCAGGTATTTCCTTGACCCCAAGACATCTCAGAAGGTAAAATTCGTGTACCCCAACAAGAATGACAGTGTGGAGCTAATGAAATCCTTATTTGATATGGAAAACCTTCCGAGTGTATTTGGGGGAAAAGCTACTCTATCATATGACCATGGAGAGTTCTCAGAAAGGATGGCAATGGACGACATGAAAACTGCCAAGTTTTGGGAGTTCAACGACAAGCCTTGCCACAATATGAATGGATCAGAGCCAATGCCAGTCTCAGTCTCCTCTGCCTAGATCGGTTCATCCTACCGACTTTCTGATCTACTAAATCCAAGTGTATAGTTGAAAATGAACAAAAATGTAAGAAAGTAACACTATTTCCAACAATAAATGAAAATGAACTAACTTGGATCATTTCTGGCCACGGTATTGTCTTTATATTTAGACCCTCTTTTCAGAATGTTCTCCTCTTTCTCTTCTCCGCTCTTTCACATTAGATTTGAATTAGCTCGAAATGATGCAATAATATGTCCCTTTTGCCAGTTTTATCATCACGAAAATGAACAAGCAAGCAAATGATTCACGATACAGTAAATGATGATCGGTTCAAAAGATTAATAACAATCAACCTTCGTTTGCAGAGCCGACGGCCGATTTCTTACTCTGCCTGGCAGCAAAACGGTATACAACGACTCCAATTCTCGCTCCCGGCGGCGGAGGATCCGTATGTAAAACCTCCACTTCAAACAACTTCCTCGCTTTCTTGAAGAAGGCCGAGTCCTTCTTCCACCTCCTCAAATGGGCCATCAGAAACACCATTTTGGGGTTTCCTCCGCCCAACAGAAAGCTCCGCAGCGTTTGGAGAAGAGGATCGTACAAGTGGTCATGGTACACCACATCGGAAGCCAGTACGAGTTCGAATTCTCGCCCAATCAGTTCGGTGTCAATGGCCTCTCCCCAATGCAGCGGCGCCACCTGAACGCGTCCGCCGTTCGCCGCCAAAACCTCGGCGTTTGCTTCGACGTTGAACTGGAGGTTGGGGATCACGTGCGAGAGATCGGTCACCGTTACTATTGCTCCGAGTGTGGCGGCGGCGGCGATTCCGACTAAACCGGTTCCGGAGCCGATCTCGAGAACTTCCAGAGTTCGACGGTCTGAGCCGTCGCGTAAGGCGGTGAGAGTGGGAGTGAGAGGGCTGGTTTCAGGATGAGAGCGCTGTTCGTCGAGAAGCTTGACGAGGGTGGTCGCCGCCGGCCAGAGCTGGAAGGACAGCCCTCGGGAAGGTAGCTGCCTGATCGCTAGAGTCGAGTTTATTGAACGGATAAAATGGTGCTGCAATTCAGATGCCACACCGTTATGTAGCAGAGATAATTTATCAATTTCCTCCTCAGCAAGGATCACAGAGATGGGGCAAATGTCGTCCCCGCCGCCGCCGCCGCCGCCGCCGTCGTGTTCGGCAGACATGATACTGAAGGTCTTCGTTCCGCCGTCCCCCCCGAAATTTTTGCATCCGTCTCTCATCTCTAGGGCAGTTTTCTGTAGCCCAAGAAGAGAGAGATAGATGGGCTTTTAGGCCCAGGCCCAGGCCCAGGCCCAGACCCACTATGTTAATGAAAAAAATTTGTGAGGAGGGATCGCACGGGTATTGCTCGGGGTTTGTCTGCTGTTGCCGAACCTGTGCTCGCTGTTTCGCTTTCGAAAGGTATTTCTCTGATCTAAATCAATTCGTAAATGTTAGGGAACAAGAAAATAGGGCTCCAGATGGGAATTAGGAGTGACTAAGGAGATGTTAGATTATGTTGGTTCTACTGCTTTTTTTTTATCTTAACCTAACAACCTCATCTTCTAAGTTCTAATTTTAGTTGTGATTTGATATGGGTTTTTGAGTAGAAGATCTTAAATTCAATTCCATTCTCATATATGTTTTTGAACCAGTGATCTTCTGGGAGTTCAAAAGATTACATAAATTTCATGCCCATGCTCGCTAATCTTTGATTTTGGTGATGTACTTTCAATTTTCATTTCCAATTACAGTTTTTCTTATGCATACATACAAGCGAATAGACAGTAAATGCGGCTGCCTTTTAAATGTTACCATTTCTATCTCTTGCATTTCCAACATATGTACGATTCATCAATTATCAGTAGACTAAGCACTTCCCAAATTCCATCTTAATAGGTAAGCCGTAAGCAGTTGATTTAACTATATAATGGAGGCCAAATTTTTTCGATTCTTGAAGATTGTGGGAGTTGGTTACAAAGCCAGAGCAGAGGCAGCAGGACGTCTGTTGTATCTTAAACTGGGATACAGCCATGAAGTTGAATTAACTGTTCCTCCAGCCGTTCGAGTCTTCTGCTTCAAGAACAATGTCGTGTGCTGCACCGGAATTGACAAACAAAGGGTGCATCAATTTGCTGCTGCAGTTCGTAGCTGTAAGCCGCCAGAAGTATACAAAGGCAAGGGCATAATGTACATCGACGAGGTCATCAAGAAGAAACAAGGAAAGAAGTCCAAGTAGTTTTTGCAAAATGCCTCAAATTGATCTTTATTCAGACACAAAGTTGCCGAAGTCGAGAATAATTGGGTTTGCTGTATGAATATTAGAGTATTCCATAGATTAATTGAGCCGTGGGACTGAAATTTTGGTAGCTTCATTCATGGCTTCTTTTTTGCTTCAATGCCTATTCTTGAAAAGTTGGAATCTCGAGTAGGAAGAAGCTAATTAAAGGTTGAGGGTTGTGTCTTGCCTGTGTTTCGACTTGTAATGTAACAATCAGTTTCACATGTTTAATTTTTAATCCCTCTCTTCTCTGGAACAAGTTTTAATTGGTTGATTATTTGATCAGTTCCCTTCCTGTTTATAAGTTAAAGGACTGACTGAAACTTAAAGCTCCAAATGCGTACGCAAAAATGTATGGCATCAGGAAAATCTTTCATGCCTCAGCTTCCATGGGGAAATGAAGGTTGCCTGATGCACTTTACAGGACATTTGTAGATTTATCGTAATAATATTCTTCCATTATGCAAATGTAAGGTTAGAATACACTTTTGGTTGCTACAACCGATTGTAATAATTTAGTACATGTACTTTAAAAAGAGAAACAATTTAACCCTTAAACTTTACATATGTAACCGTAGATTATTAATATACTAAATTATTACTTTCATGAGATTACAAGGACCAAAAGTGTTTTTTATCCAAAAAAAAAAAGAAAAAAAACCCATTATATGCTTCCTTACAAAATACATGGAAGTGTAAATGTGGCTTCAATCATGTAACCAAACATCCCAAAAAAACTTAAAATAATATATATTTAAATTAATTCAAAACACTCTTAAAAAACAATGAGCGTTTAGACAGAATTTAAATGATTTTCCACAAGGAACAAGACATGGAAAGATATTAGTCTAGCACATAGATTCTAGAGGCAATGTCTTGGACCAACCAATCGAACCCCTCCATCAGCCCCTCACCAGTGTAAGCGCTGCACCCAACAATTTTCCAGTGCCGAGTTTTGTCCATGGCTTCCAAGTTCAGTACCTGTATGGTTAACACAGCATTCATTTCAGAGCCCCACACCCCAACCCAACGTAAAAACAATAAAATCCAGTAGCTGATAGAAGTGACAAGAATAGTGATCAGTTAATATCATGTAATTGTAAGCTCATGGCATTACTTCAATTTTGCCTTCCCAGTAGTAGCCTACACATGCAACTTTTTTATTTATGCACATGGTTTTTCTAAAAAAAACTGCATCATAGATTAACTTGAAAAGATCCAAGAATTGGACTTGAAACTTAGAAAATGAACTTCTTACTTTAGTAATTTCGTCAGGAGAAAGGGCTCCTTTTATATCTTGCTTATTAGCTAGAATAAGCAACGATGCTCCAGATAGCCTCTGTAATATGATCGACAAAATTAGTAATTTCACATTCTTTCCTATCTATGTAAAATTATATAGAAGCTTTAATCAGGCATTGCTTGCATTTCATTTGTTACTTGTATACTTCAACTTCCTTTAAATAAGAAACTGATTTCATTACAATAGATGAAAGTACAAGAAGAGACCATCCAAAATCACTGGTTGAAAGCAACAAAACAATATTCTGAAATAATAAGAACGCAAAAGCCTGTGCTTCAAATACATGACTGAGTCATGCAACAAATTCATAATTCACAACTTGGGAGTTGAGAAAAGCTATTTACTTCAAGAGATTATCGGACGATCATAATTGGCGGGTAGTTCAATGGTCAATTATCACCCACACTTGTACTATCAAGAAAACACGAAAAATGCAAACAGATAGATGCTCCCTACAATATAATTACTTTCAGTTAAACAAAAGACACAAACCAGTCAAGCTAAATCAGCAAAAGGGGGAAATACATACATAAACGAACATATTAGTCATAAGTATACCAGGAAAACAGTAGAGAGAATCATATGGTTAAAACATTCTTGATTTATTATTAATAACTTACAAAAAAAGAAATTCTAACCTCTTCTTTCAAAAGGTTATCGAGCTCCATTTTGCAATCGTCCAATCTTCTAAGATCAGAACTGTCCACTACCCATACTAATCCATCTGTCTGCTCAAAATAGTTCCTCCAATATGATCTTATAGTCTTCTGGCCCCCGACATCCCATATGTTAAGTATGTACCTGCGAGAGCAAATAGTTAACTGCATTTCAAATTCCTTCATTCCAAGGCTTCAAACACTTTCAAATACTTGAATAAAGAACCAGAAAACGTCAAATCAGAAGTAAATGGTCAAGGGTTTAGAACTTATAAACGACTAAAAAACTGGCTTATGTATTGGTGGGAAATGAGATTTCATCCGTGTTATAACACCAAAAGTTCTCATAAAAAGGACTTCTGAAATGGCCCATATTGGGTATTCAACATTTCCATTTATTTGCTGGAGTTAATTAGTTACTCGTACCAGAACCCAAGACTTGAAAAACAAAAAAAAAAATCCCCAAATCCAGAAATAACAATGAATGAAAAGCATGGCAACAAGAACAAGCAGAGAAGCTCACTTCTGATAGGTGATGGTCTTGATATTGAAGCCTAGTGTGGGGCTGATAACGCTAGTATCCTCCCCGTTAATCTTTAAAACAATCGTAGTTTTCCCGGAATTGTCGAGCCCACTGAGCAACAATCAACAGTGAATCCAAGTGAATGAGATGCAGAGGAAGGGAGTGGGGAGAAAACAGAGAGAGATTTACATACACCATAAGTATGCGCATTTCTTTCTCTTTCCTTTTGATTTTCCGAATGATACTGAGCAGCCCCATTGAGTACGCCGCCTCCGCACCACAGATCTTGCAATGAATTCAGCAAGCACAAGTTCGTCGTCTTTGTCAACGAAGTCAGGGATGTGAAATTGGGTGCCGATCGGGAATCTTCGCCCGGGCAAACGAATCCCTGAAACCTAAACACCATGACTAATAAATAACTGGATATCTGGAGGAAAAATGTTATACATAAAATTGGTCACAAAACCTTGAAGCAGCCGAGTGAGATTGAGAAGAGGAGGATGACGACGATTGACAGAGGGTCTAAAGAGCGATTACCGGGGCCTGCGAACTCTGCCGCCAGAAAGAGATTGATTGAGGGAGAAGCAGGTTTTTTTTATTTTTCTTGATATTTTTTTAAAGTATTTTATTTTTCATTATAACAATACTTAATCGAGTGTGTGTGTGTTTTTTTTTTCGGGTAATCGCCATGTACTATATTGAATTAAGTTAAACTCTAAGTTTAAATAAATATAGCATATATTTTTTAATCTTTAATATTTGAGTTAGTCCTCGTTACTAAACTTTTTTCAAATATTGAGGTTTCAATTTTATAAAATGTCAATATTGATAGATATCTTTGAAAAAGTAATAAAAATAAAGAGAATTGGTAAAAAAATATATATAAACTAACAAATAAATATTTTACCGTTTCTGGATAAGTCAAGAATGATTAATATTAATATTATGTCTATATTATTGATATTTATTATATTTTGTTGATTTTTTTGTAATATTATCAAAACGTTGATTTATCTCTCATGTCGATGTCGAACTTACAGAAACATATACATGTCAACGAATATTTAATACCATAAATGACTAATATTTTTTTAGTTACTTGAGTTTAAGTATTTGAATGTTGGGTTAAAGGTTTTCCTTCTTTTTTTTTTCTTAATGTCGGCCTAAAATTTTAATTTAATTTTTTCCTACTAATTTGAACATAATTTAAATGGATAAGACATCTTAAAATCATTTCAAAGGTCCACAGTAACATACTTATAATGAAATATGAAGAATACCTTAATTCAAGACACACACAGTGTTTCGTTTAAGATTCAACTTTGAAATGCTGGATCCAGCAATGATTAGAATTATTCTGACCAAAAATCCAACAGCTACTTGAGTCCTTGGAAATTTTATTTCTCAAAGTTAATTCTTTCATTGTAATTAGTCTTATCCAAAATAAAATAAAATAAACTCTTTTCATTGTAATTAAGTCCAAATTATGCAATCCCTAACATTTATTTTCTCAAAATAAGTGAGTAAGACAGGTTTTGGAGAACGCTACCACATCATAATATA